GTGGCATGGGAGCTAAGCTTTCACAAGTTTAGCAATTTGAGAGAGAGAGAGAGAGAGAGAGAGAGAGAGAGAGAGAGAGAGAGGAGAGAGAGAAAGCGAGAGAGAGAGAGAGAGAGAGAAGCACGAATTTCTTACAGAGAATGAAGGTTTGGAGTGGGGTAGAGGAAAATTAGGAGGATTTCTTCCTAATGGGAAGATGAAACAACTAGAGGCGAAAATTGGGTGGCTTGAGTAAAATTCCCAATTTGCTTGACAGAGCTTGGTCAGGCTCTGGATGATGATTTTATTGGGTAGAAGAAGCTCCCTTTTATAGGTACAAAGAATCCTTAATTTCATCTAACCTTCTTCCCACTTGATCCTATTTGATGCAATTTTCCTATCCAAGACGCATGGGTAAGGAGCCTTTTGTGGTTCCAAGGTTTTGACATAGCTGGTCTTCTTCATAAGGATGAAGCGCCACCTGCTTTCCCTCTAGTTTTTCAAGACGGAGCTTGCAGTGGAAAAGAAGATGGATAGAGGCTTTTGTCCGATGGGTATTCTTCCTACACTCATGGGTTTCCGTTGGTCTCTGTCATGGCTTCCTATTTGACCATCTTGGAGTCCTAATAAGGGTGGAGCATGGTGACAACTTTCCTACAAGTTGCTGGGTTGGGCTCGTGTGAAATATTGGGCTGTCAACACGTTATTTCCAGCGCTTAATGGGTTTTCGTCAAGCTGCTGGGAATAGCCTATTTAATTTTGGGCATTTTATTGATGTTGGCTTTGTCTAAGTGCTATAGCAGACTATTAGATATCCTCCTAAGGCATTGGATCATTTTCTCCCCTCTCTCATGCTAACCCATGTGTTTGGGCTCAAGAAATTGGCTTGAGTTTTGGGGCTCCCAAGAAGCCCAAAACTTCCATTTCTTGGCTCATCAATGGGCCCCATAAAAGCTCGTTACCATCCATACAACAACCCACTCAAGCAAACCCCGGGCATTTGCGTGGCTTGGGCCCACTTAAGCTTGTAGTGTGGCTATGTGTGAAATAATGATTTCCTGCTTGGCATGGCATGTCAATTGGTGTGCTTGAATTTTATAGTCTTTGAAAAGAGACATAATGCTTGACAAAATAATTAGCATGAACTTGTAGAGCCAATGCCTTTTATAGGCTCATTTTAATTCTTAGCGTGATAAATTGCATATTTATTTGGCATGGCACGCGGTCGTGGCTCTTGAAAGCGTGCATGACGAATTCCGCATGCTCCGAATCGGGTCTTTTCTTAATAAGGTGTCGCATTGGGCCAAGAATTTATTTGGGCCCAATCCTGGATTTTTTGGGCCTCAACAAACATCATCCAATTTTCCATTCATTTTAAGGGTATTTTAGTCTTTTCTATTTTTAATGGTATTTTAAAAATGGAAAAATCGTTATAATTTTTTTTTTAAATACATGGTTAGAGAGAGAGAGAAGAGGGGGGGATGGGGGGGGGTCGTCCTGTCCGATGTGTTTTGGGGGCGAATGAGGTTGGGGTGGGGAAGAAAGGGAGAGAGAAGTCCTTTTTTCTCTGTTTTTTTTCTTGAAAATGGAAAGACTAAAATACCCTTGAAAATTGATGGAAAATTGGATAGTGTTAAAGTCAGATGACAAATCATGGATTTTGAAAAATTAAGGTGACATTTCTATTAAATTTTTTTTTAAGGTGACAAATTGAAACTGAGATACATAAGTTCAGGTGATATTTCAATAATTATACCACGTGAAACTGTAAGTGAGGGTATTTTATCAAAAAATATAAAATATGACACATCAAACTTGATTAGGTAATTTGCTTAGTTGGATTCTAGTCAATTGGACTTTAAACAAAATAAAATGGGCTTTAGACAAGAAAACATATTATGATGGGTTGCAAGCAGTTAAAAATGAGTATTAAGGGGATAAGTCAAATTTTATATTAAAAGAACGCTACACAAATTGGAAAAAAATTCCACCACTACCAAAGAGAATATCCAAAACACATGTCATTATTATATATCTCTATATATATATATATATATATATATATATAGCAAAAGGCAGAGAATGGTGAAACATTCAAAATACCAGAAAATGTCATTGGTTCATTCAAACATTAATAATTGAAATTATTAATTAAATCTGGACAATATGGTAAATTCACATTTTTTTCATATTAAAAATTAAAATTAAAAAGCAAAATTAGATAATAGGTCTTTTTATGGAACATAACTACCCATGTTATCTTTTCTTAATTTTAAAAAAAAATTAAAAAAATTAAAAAATAAAACCAAGGGGATATTTTTTTATAAAGGCAAAAGCAGACCCAAATTTGATATTTACAAAAAAGAAAGGAAAAAGCTTGCCCAACAAATCCCTAAATCTATGCCAAATTGGAATGCCATTAATGTGCATTGAATTACGAAATAAATTGTTGGGAAAAAAAACACAATAAATTGAGGCAATCAAAAAGTACTCAAACCAAAAAAACAAGATAAAAGGAAATTAAGGGTATTTTAGGCATTTGAAAATATAACATTTAATATGTTAAGCTTGATTGGGTAATTAGTTGGATCCCTAGTTAGTAAAATACGGAACGAAAAAAGTATGAATAAAATACATACATGTTTTATTTGGCAAAATTTGGACAAGATACAACTGAAAAGTTCAACCACAATTAGGGGTGGGCGCGGTACGGTTCGGTCTGGTTCGCAGCTCACATCGAAACCGGAATTGGTACTGTTCATCCGGTTCGGTCCGGTCCGGTCCGATTTTGGAAAAAAACAGGAGAGAAACCGGATCAAGCCGAACTGGTAATTTTCGGTCCGGTTTTCCGGTTTGCACCGTTTCTATAGCAAGTCACATACACAATAGACAATAAAACATAAATTTGGATAAACAATTCTTACTTTTCTGCTAAAAAATATTCGATTTTTCCTTTCATTTTCTCATATGGCCGACATATAAATAACCCTAAACAATCTAATACCAAGTAGACCAGAAATCATAAACACACCAGATCTAATGAAACTCACACATAAAAATGAATACAACATCAGATCTAATGAAACCACAAAAAATAAAAAAAATAAAAATAAATACAACACCAGATTTCTCCTTGCATGAGACTTTGATGCTTGAATCGAGTCCTAGGATCTTCGTTACCAGCATATGAAGAAGGCTCCATAGCAAGAACTCCTTTCATCCTCTTCATTAGATCACAGTGAGAGAGAGAGTGAAATAGTGAAGTTGCAGAGAAGAAAAAAAAGGGTAGAGAGAGAGTGAAGTCGCAGAGAAGAAGAAAAAAGAAGAGAAGAAAAGGGAACGGAAGAAAGGAAAGAAAATGAAAAGATGGGGAGAGAGAGAGAGAGAGAGAGAGAGAGAGAGAGAAGTCGCAGAGAAGAAGAAGAAGAAGAAGAAATAAAAAAGAAAAGGGAGAGGAAGAAAAGAAAAAGAAACGGGAAAAAAAAAGAGAAGGAGGAATGAAGAAAAGGGGAAGGGGGAGAGAGAGATCAGAGAATGACAAAAGAAAAAGAAGACAAAAAGAAGAGGAAAAAAAAAGAAATGGGAAAAGTAAGAGAGAGAAGAAAGAATATAGAAAAGAAAAGAAAAGGGGAAACGGGATCAAAGTCTCATGCATTGCTGGCAATGAAGAAAAAGAAAGTTTTGGGAAGAGAGCGGCGCTTTGGGAAGAGAAAAGAAAGGGAAAAAAATAGAGAGTTTAAGTGGGATTGGAAAGGGCTTTGAAAATAAAATGTACATGGATTTTAAAGTTGGGCTTTTTATTTGGGTTAAATTGAATTGGGCTTAAATATAAGATATTTTAAATTAATTAATTAATTAATTAATATAACCGGTCCGGTCCAGTCCGGTAGTATATAAAACCAAAACCGGAATCGGTTCAAACTAGTCCGGTCTGGTTCGGTGTCAATTTGTTGACTTTTTTAGTCAACCGGTTTCTTTTCCGGTTTTTTCTATTCGGTTCGGTCCGGTCTTCCGGTTTTCCGGTTCAAGTGCCCACCCCTAACCACAATATAATAATTTAATATATTCTATTTAATTATATATATATTATTTTTATTCAATAATATGTGAAAAATACGTGAATTTTGTATGTATTATTCAAAATTTTGTTTAAAATACTTCTACTAAATGTGAAAAATATGTACATACGTGTATAATATGTGTACTATGTGTTTTTTTTTAAACGTGTATTTTATCGAGTCTTTAAGATGTGGATGAAAAATGAAAGTATTATTAAAAAAAATGCATAATGCGTGTATATATGAGTATTAAGGATGGATTGTATAGGTAAGAAAAAATGGGCTTTAGTCAAGAAAAAATAATAGGATGGGTTGTATAGGTAAGAAAAAACTAGTTTGAAGGGGAAATGTCAAATTTACTTTTTTCTTTTCTTTTTTTCTCTATCAATTCCTTCTTTTTTCGTATGCTCTATTTTCATGTTCATTCTCCTACATTAATGACTTATGGTTGTTTATACCAATATGAACAGCCTATGAGGACCAGACACGTGAGCGAAACTGAGCTTGACTATGGTAGCCTTCGGCACCCTGACTACCAATTTAGCGATTAGGGCAACCCCCTTATCTAGGACACGTGGCAGACCCATAATCCACGTTTACAGTCCCACATCGAAATTCTAAACAATGTGCACACCTCCCAAGGCCTATAAAAGAGGACCACTATCCCCAAATGGAGGTAATTAGAGCTTACGGCATACTACCTATTGATTTGTCAGTTTAAGCTTACTAAATCCATACTTACTTAAGTATCGAAGAGCCTTCGGCTGGTACCACACCAATGCCTAAGGTTTTACCAAGGGTTCGTTATCATACAGATCACGCGCTCTACTGAGGCCCAAAGTATACCGAAGGCCCAACATCACTAAGTTGAGCTGAAAAGGTGCCAAGTCATTTTTTCGCATCAACAGTTTGGCGCCATCTGTGGGAAAGCGATCTGAATCAACCCACTATCCCGAAAAACCTATGGGGATCACTTCAGTACCTACGTTCCTATTGGAGGAAGGACTACCGTTCGGAAGGCAAAGCGGAGCAAGCCTCGCGCTGCCTACGTGCACTCCCTTTGGAAACACACTCGTGATTCAAACCATCGCCGAAGCCGAGTTTCTGGGCCAAATCACTTCCCTTCGGAATGACATGGCTAAGCCCCAAGAACACAACAACCTTCTCTCGTCCAAAGTGGACGAAACCCAGCAACTGCTCAATCAGTAGCATACACAAAATATCCAAACCATGCAATCCTCTCAGAGCCTGCAAACTCCTAGTCGGTAGAAGAAAGGTAAGAAGGGGGCAAAGGCGACGCATGCACCCTCCAAGCAGCTAGTAGTCCCGGCACCCAGGGATCAACCCCACCTTCCGAAGAAGGTTTACTCCGATTGTCGCCATCAGATTAACGATCGAGAAGCCGAAAGGCAAAGATCCCAGATCAGGATCAATGCTCACTTAAGGGACTCGCGGATGACGGTTCTGGGAAACAAGTCACCCATTCAGAAGGTTCGAGGTCTTGAATCCATGGTAGAATCAGATCCTGAGTATGTCCCTTCTAAGACTCAAGGTTCCACCTACAGTTCGGCAACACTAACACGGTACTCGGAGGCCAAGCCACTGAGTCTGCGGAGACGTTCGGAGGACTATGGTTCCGAGGAGATCCCTAGTCGAGACCCTATCATCTGACTTCATTTTCAAAAAGTTCAGAAGATGGAAAATGACCAGACTCGCTCACAAGAGCCCGGCTGGGGAAAGCTTCGGCCAGGGCCATTCACCGAACGCATCAGGCATTCCAGGCAGGACAAAGATGTACAGCCTTTACGCATACAGTTTTACACCGGGGCAGAAGAACCCTTAACACATCTCCACTCCTTCCAGCCTCCCGTGGGATGCAAAGGCCTCAGCGACGAACGGCAATGCCTGTTATTCCCATCCTCCCTCATGGAGGCAGCCTTAAATTGGTTATACCGTTTGGAGCCAGAGACGGTCGATTCCTTCGACGAACTAAAACAGATTTTTCTCAATCACTTTATGATCCAGAAGGATCGTCTGTATTTTGCCAATGCTCTGTACACCATCCGGCAAAGAGAGAACGAGCCTTTATGGGAATACGATGCACGTTTCAGTCATGAATACTCAAGGTGTCCGGAAACGGACTACAAGGTTGCCTACGGCGCCTTCAAGAGTGGCCTTCGGTCTTCACACTTTCGGTATCTAACGCACAGTAGCAACTGGCGCACCTACGACCAACTGATGAAACAGGCGGCAATCCACGCCAAGGCTGAATATTTCAACTCAAAGTCCGGGCCTTCGGCTCGGCAGGAGGAACCAACATTGAGGAGTTATCCCGTGCAGGAATCTTCGTATGCCCCGACTAGAAGAAATGATGAATCTTCTGCGAGGCACAAACGGAAGGACAATCATGATGCTCAGCAAGGACACTCAAAGAAAGGAAAAGGCAAGTACGGTCACAATGACCACCGAGCTCCCCTACCAAACCACGATCGTGGTCAGGAAGTCTTCACTTTGCTAAATACCACTTACGAGGTTGTCCTAATGAACGAGCACGAAATAATACCGAAATCGAATCACCGAAAGCCCAATCGGCAGGACGATCAGGATACCGGTATATTCTACCAGTACCATCAGCACAATAGCCATAACATATGGGAATGCATAAGCACGAGGAAAATCGTCGAACGATTGATTCAGGACGGAAAACTAGATCAGTACATTGCCAGACCATTGCAAGCACCGGTCCTGAATACGAACTGACAGATAAATATGATCAGCACCATGAACGAGGGCCCCACCCTTGCAGGTACGAGTAACCGTTCGGTGAAGCAATATGTTCGTGCCACGCAGTACCCTCAAGTCTTCGGCATAGAGGTCAACCGACATCACAAAATGCTGAAGGTTCGTTAAGAACCCATCACATTCTGTGAAGAAGAAGAAGAGGGGATCCTCCACCCCCACGATGACTCGATGATCATCCGAGCCAAAATCGGTGACTATGACGTAGGGCGAGTACTGATCGACGGGGGAAGTTTGGTAAACATAATCTTTGCTGATGCCTTCAGAGATATGGGAATAGATGACAGCCAGGTCAATCGGCAGCTAACGCCTCTGCTTAGTTTCTCTGGAGACCTGGTCCAACCGATCAGCAGTGTCAGACTGCCCATCGCCTTCGACATTACCCCACGAAAAACGATGGTATATGACCAATTCCTCATTGTCGACTGCCCAACGGCATATAACGTTATATTCGGACGAACGGCACTCACCGGGATCAAGGCACACCTATCCCCTCACATGCTATTGATGAAATTCCCAACATGCAACGGCACTGGCGCGATTAGAGGAGATCAGCTTAGCGCACGACCTTGCTATGCCACACCTCTCAAATAGACATCCTTTAAACCTCCCAACGAGACCATGTTTGTTCAAGGAGTACAAAACGGTACAGGGCCCATTGACAACCCAAGAGATGAAATGCCGATGCCTCAAGCGCAACCCGTCGAAGAATTGGAAACGGTAATCTTGAATGAAGAACAACCCAATCGATATGTGAAAATCGGTACCACACTCACCCCATCCCTCCGAGCACAATTTATCGAGTTCCTACAACATCATTCAGAGGTGTTCGCCTGGTCTTATGATGACATGTCAGGCATCTCTCCTAAGGTCATCAGCCATAAGCTCAGCATTTCCTCCGCCTATAAGCCCGTAAGGCAGAAACGTCGTTCGTATGATGCCGAACAGTATGAGGCCATGCGAACCGAAGTTGAAAAGCTCTAAGCCATCGGCTTTATCAGGGAAGCTACGTACCCTGTTTGGCTGGCAAACTCTGTGATGGTTCAGAAGGCAAAAGGATTATGGCGAATGTGCCAAGACTATACTGACCTAAATAAGGCATGTCCGAAAGATAGCTTCCTGTTGCCTCGTATTGACCAGCTCGTGGACGCCACTGCCGATCACGAGGTGCTTAGCTTCATGGATGCTTATTCATGGTACAACCAGATATTCATGCACCCTGCCGATAGCGAGCATATGGCATTCATCACTGATAGGGGATTGTACTGCCACAATGTCATGTCGTTCGGCCTAAAAAATACAGGGGCAACATATCAAAGGCTCGTCAACCGAATCTTTGTCGAACATATCGGCAGCATCATGGAGGTTTACGTCGACGATATGTTGGTAAAAAGTAGGACTGCCGAAGAGCACCTACACAATTTGGCCCTTATGTTTGGTATACTGAAGGACTACCGAATGAGACTGAACCCAGCGAAGTGTGCCTTCGGTGTGTCTTCCGGTAAGTTTCTGGGTTTCATGATTAGTTAGAGAGGGATCGAAGTAAATCCTGCGAAAATCAAGGCCATAATTGACATGGAGAGAACAAAGACACAGAAGGACATTCAGAGCCTTACCGGATATGTCGCTGCCTTAACACTCTTCATTTCCAAGGCCACCGATAAGTGTGTGTCATTCTTTAAAGCCATGAAAGGGGGCAAACAGCATATCGCATGGACTGCCGAATGCGACAAAGCATTTCAAGACAACCACTCCCAAGGGAAATCTTGTTTCTTTACCTTTCGGTATCCAACACTGCCGCCAGTTCGGTGTTAATACATAAACCAGAGAAAGCAGAGCTACCGATCTTCTACGTTAATAAAGCGCTTCAGAGCGCAGAGCTTCGGTATCCTCCGTTAGAACAGCTAGCCCTAGCCCTTGTTGTCTCAGCTCGAAGGCTCTACCCATACTTCCAAGCGCACGAAATCACGGTCTTGACCAATCAACCACTTCGGCAAGTACTCCAAAAACCAGAAACATCCAGCCGATTGGTCAAGTGGACGATCGAGCTCGGAGAATTTGACATACAATTCAAACCAAGGCCTGCGGAATAAGGTCAGGCCATTGCCGATTTCATCTCCGAGCTTACACCTCCAGTAGCACCCGAGCCAGCCAATCCAGGTACTGATACCGAGGAACCTGGCAAGTAGAGCACCGAACGCTTTGACCCTTCAATCCCTGTATGGATCCTGCATGTTGATGGTTCCGCAAATCAGCAAGGTTATGGAGCTAGTCTAGTGTTGATTACCCCGGACGGAGTCAAGGTCAAATACACCCTCCGATTCAACTTTAGAACCTCCAACAACGAAGCAGAGTATAAGGCTCTTCTGGCCGGCCTTCGACTAGCTAGAAGCATGAGTGCAAAATAGGTCAGCATTCACAGTGACTCTCAGCTCATAATGAATCAAATAAGGGCAGATTTCGCAGCCAAAGAAGCTTCCATGTCAGCCTACCTATCAACCACATACCAACTCCTTCAAAAATTTCAGGCTTACGAGATTCGGCAAATCCCCAAGACAGAAAATAGTCACACCGATACACTGGCTCGGTTAGCCTCGGCCATTAATGACAAAGTCGGGAGAAGGGTGCCAGTGGAGATCTTGGCTCAGCCAAGCACAGTAACCTCCGAAGTGTGTATAGTACGATATGAGAACACGTGGATGTCTCCAATCTACACGTACTTAACGAACTGTACCCTGCCCCGTGACAAGTCTTAAGCACGGAAGCTACGATACCGATCGGCAAGATATACAGTCATCAATTATGTCCTCTACAAGCGCGGTTACACCACTCCGTATTTGAAATTCATCACTACCGAACAAGGGGACTACGTCCTTCGGGAAGTCCACGGTGGCGTATGTGGCGACCATTCTAGGTCCCGATCACTCGCACACAAGGCCTTTCGGCAGGGGTACTACTGGCCAACTATGCATCAGGATGCGAATACACTAGTGAAGAAGTGCGACAAATGCCAGCGATTCGGTAATGTGCCCCACATTCCTGCCGAACCTTTAACACCGATCATAAGTCTATGGCCTTTTGCCCAATGGGGACTCGACCTAATCGGCCCAATGCCACAAGGCAAAGGCCAGGTTAAGTACGTTGTGGCCGTTGTGGACTACTTCACCAAATGGGTAGAGAACGAAGCTCTGGCAACCATAACGGCAGCCAGAATGGAGGACTTCGTGTGGACCCATATCTGTTGCAGATTCAGTATCCCCTATGCAATCATCACCGATAACGGCAGGCAATTTGATTCGAAACTCTTCAAACAGTTTTGTACCCGCCAAAAGGTCAATCTGTTCTTCGCGTCACCAGCTCACCCCCAATCAAACGGCCAAGTTGAAGCAATAAACAAAATCATTAAGAAACTGCTGAAACAACAACTTGACAATGCCAAGGGCGCTTGGCCAGAGAAGCTTCCCGAAGCGCTATGGGCAATCCGGACATCCTTCAAAACATCCACCGGGGAAACCCCCTTCTCTCTAGCCTTCGGATCGGAAGTCGTCATCTCCGTGGAGATCAGCGAGCCTTCCTACTAAACGGAAAGCTTTGCACCAAAGGCTAACGAGGAGGCCCTTGCGTTAAGCCTCGACCTGATCGAAGAACGAAAAGCGCAAGCCAATATTCGGAATCAAGCCTACAAGCAGTGCGTCTCTCGGTACTATGACTCAAGGGTCCGACCCCATTCTTTCCGAATCGAGGATTGGGTTATGCGAAAAGTCTCTTTGGTGACCAAGAACCCCACGGAAGGAACCATCGGACCTTCCTGGGATGGACCTTACGAGATCATCAATATCCTTCGATCGGGGACCTATGAGCTAAGAGACTCCAACGGAAAGACCCTAGGTCATCCTTGGAATGTAGAACATCTAAAATACTATTTCAAGTAGTTACCTAGCCTTCGGAAGGACGAAAGTGTAATACAATGAACATGTATTCATGCCGTTGGCAGTAGTTAATGAAAAGCCTTCGGCATTTAATATATTTACAACCTTCGATGTATTTATTTACTTTTTCGGTAATTAAAAAGATGGGGTAGAGACTATTGATGAAGCAGGATTCAAATGGACCAATGCTTAAAACATTTGGACTACTGATGGTCAAACCACTTAATAGTCTTTTTATTAGCCCTCGGCGATAAACTGATTAAAATCTTAATCCTACCGATAGCGTGTTCACTTGTACTTTCTTCCCGAAAATATGATTCCGATTAATATTTAGCAAAGTGTTAGCCATTGGCCACCGTTGTTTAAACAATAATAAACTAAATCTTTCGGCAAACAAAAAACTGATGGCAATAAAGGAGAGAGGGGCTCATGAGCCCAGCCAAAATGGTCGAAAACAGGTAAACATCAATTCAAGTAGATGCCCTCGGCATCAAGGTGTTCGGAATAAGCTGCCTTATGGCAGATACAAAAAGAAAATAATATTATAGAGCTAACGGACAGATCAGACGGTAGCCTCTTCACCAGCAGCCACAGCGCCCCCATCAGCAATGGCATCAGCAGGAGCTTCTTCAGCAGCAGCAGGGTCCTCGGCAGCAGAGGCTTCTTCCGGAGCATCCTTCCCCTCATAATCTTTGATCATTTCCTCAATGATGCCTTCCGGTAGAGGAGAAGGATCGGCAATAAAGTTTAGGTTCAGCTTCTGCCTGGGATTGTACCGTTTGAAACAATAAAGGAGATACGCCATCTCTGAGCCCACTTCACTGTCCAACAGGACGGTGAACTCTTCAGACGAACGGTAGCCCCTGATCGCCTCCCGAACGGCAGCATCGATCTCTACTGCTTTAGCCCACTTGGACTCCTTCAGGACCACCTACACAACCCCTTTTTCCGCCTCGGCATCTTCGCTGCTGTCACCATAGGGTCCAAAGCCGCCCTCATCTCCTCCAGCTTGGCTTCGGAAGCTTTGACTTGCCATTCGACAGCTTGTTTGTCCTTGAGGAGATGAGCGTGGTCCTGGAGCGCCTTGCCTGCCTCGGCCACCTTGGCACGTCCATCCTCATAAGCCTTTTTGGCGCGCTCGGCAGCCGTAATAGCCCGCCTCATGCACAGCCATATGTCCATGAACGCCTGAAAGGTAAAGCCAATAGTCAGCATCAAGTGGGATAGTTAATGGTAAGCGATAAATAAAATCACCATGAAACTTACTGAGGCCTGAAGACAGAAAGCACGCCCGGCCTCCTCCCGAATGAGCCTCTTCGGGATCTCTTCAATCTCTGACAGCTCCATCTGCGAACCCAGAATCATGTCGTTCACAAATTGGACCGTCTTTAAAGGACAGGCGATGTTGATGGGCATGGCAGGGCCATCCTCGTCCTCGACGGCAAAAATAGCCCTTGATGCCTCCGTCTGCCGACCACACTTGGACATGGGCTTAGCGTCCAGATCCACCGTTACCGGCCGCTTCCCAGCTGCCTTAGAGGCAGCGGCTTCGGTGGCCTGTCCCAGCCTCGGTGTGGAGTCAGCTTCGGCGGCTCTATTTGGCACAGGCTCAGCGCTCAGCTGCCGTAGCCGATCGGCAAGGGTCTGATCCTCTAGATCAACCTCTGTTGCCGGTACCAGGACTGCTTCCAGCTGCCATTTCTTCTTCTTCTCCTTTAGACCCATCATGAGGCGCCTTTTGAAGGATTCGTTCATCCTCTTGGCTTCAGCAGATCTCCTAGCGTCTGTCACTGTACAAACCAAACATCGGTAAGACATTGACATTTAATAAGTAAACGAGTAAGATAAACGAAAGTACACTTACCCTCGACAGGGCTGACGAGGCGGGCTCTGATTGAGTTCTCGGTGAAAAGGAATCTAGGGTACACCCTGTCAACGGCAGAACCTTCAACCTCACTTTATCAACCTACCGAATCTCTGATTGAGTAGGGCTCGACTGCTTCAGTTTGCCTACAAAACAAGATAAAGCGATTAAAAATTCCTCAAAAAAGACACATTAATTACCTGCCGATCGACGTGCTGGTGACCTACCGGCAATCTGGAAAGTGGTGGGGTCATGAAAACGGACGAGCGTTCCCGATGGCGATTCCCAATCGCCAGATAGAAGCACCCGCTGATTCCTCCAAGACTTCTGTGAAGTCGGCACAACGCTAACAAAATGCCCCCGTTTGGAAGCCTTGAGACAGTTGGCTTGAACCCAACCCCCATGATTGGCACTCTTGGATTTAGCGACGCTATACAGATGGGAGAACTACTCGTAGGAAGGCTCCCCTTCCCCAGCCATATTGAATGCCACAATTACCCCCATCAAGGCCACCCAGAAGTTGGGATTGTATTGGCCTGGAGCGTACCCAATCTGGGCAAGTATCTTCTGCACGGCAGGTTGAAGCGGCAACCTGAACCCCCTGCAGAAGAACGTCCGTAAAAAAGACGACCTCGCCATCCTCTGGGCTGCTGAGAGATTCGGTAGGACCCGGGATCCTCATCTTTAACGAATTTGGGATAAAGTACTCGACACGAAGCTTGGCGAGCTCCCGTTCGGTCATCTTATTGGGCTCCAAATAATCCACACCTAACAAATGTTCCTTCCGCACGCCTATGGATACCCTGGGATTTCCCCGGTGAACTATAGATACCCTCGGGTGGGAAGAGGGTTCGGCAGCTGCCTCTCCAAAGCTAGAGGTGGAAGTCTCCGATCGCTGACTAGTACGCTCATCTGGCACCGGAGCGTCCCCCATCTGGAACTCGCGGTGCTGGTCCACGCCGGCATGACTGCCGTCGTGATACACCATAGCCAACGGTACTGGCTACCTTATCATAAGCCTCTTCCCAATGCCATGGGTAGGAACGGAGTTTGTCCCCTCACCAATTATTTCGACATCGGTATCTTCTCCCCCTCAGCATCGAGGCTCACGGCCTCACTATTCGTATCCCACTGATCGTCCGATGACTCCCCATCAAACGCATTGGGCTCACTCTCGAACGGTGACTCGCTATCGGACATCTACAAAACACAAAAAAAGAAAACTAAGGGCCATGCAGAACACTAGCCTTCCGATACCTACGTCACTACCTATGGCAACTAGACTACCGAATGGAACCCTACTTACCCAAAGTTCAGTCTAGCTCATGCCAAGGAAGGACGTGCACAGAGTAAGAGTATTTAGAGGAGTGTCGAATGGTACCTTATCTCGAATTGCGGATGAAGGAAGGTAGCCTGGGTTGCCGATTGGTTTCGTCAAAAATCGCCTTGACTGTCGTTAACTACGCCAGAAATCGCCTTGATCGCCATTAACTCTTGCCGAAAATCACCTGTACAGAGCTCTCGCTTCACTCACATATGCAAAGTGAACTTCTTGCCCGGCGCCACTCCTATTTATAAGGCGAGGGATTAGAACGGTACGCCTCAAGTAACCAAACGGCACATTGATGGCGCCGTTCCGCATGAGTGGACACGCCACGTGTCGTTCAAGGTGCGGATGTTCTGACAGCACGCAGGGTGCAGAAGGCAGAGCGTTGCTCCGTTCCATTACTTCATCTCCTCGGCGCACGTACCTCGAACGAGGGACCAAATCTGCCTAGATCAACAATTAGCCAGACTATGCGCCTCCCTCTATTAAACTACTGAACGGTAGGACGACACTGCGGTTACCGAAGAAGGTATCAAGTCCCCACCTGAGAGCTCTCAGATGAGAACTTGGGGGACTCCTATTTATACCAAAATGAACAACCTATGAGGACCAGACACATGAGCGAAACTGAGCTTGACTGTGGTAGCCTTCGGCACCCTGACTACCGATTTAGCGATTAGGGCAACCCCCTTCTCCAGGACACGTAGCAGACCCATAATCAACGTCTACAGTCCCACATCGAAATTCTAAACAATGTGCACACCTCCCAAGGCCTATAAAAGAGGACCACTATCCTCAAATGGAGGTAATCAGAGCTTACGGCATACTGCTTATTGATCTGTTAGTTTAAGCTTACTAAATCCGTACTTACTTAAGCATCGGAGAGCCTTCGGCCGGTACCACACCAGTGCCTAAGGTCTTACCGAGCGTTCGTTATCTTGCAGATCACGCGCTCTACCGAGGCCCAGAGTATACCGAAGGCCCAACATCACTAAGTTGAGCTGAAAAGGTGCCAAGTCATTTTTTTGCATCAACAATGGTCATCATTATCGATTGTTTTTTTCAATTATTTTAATTATTTTCTGAATCATTTACAATCTACAAGTATGAAAAGATAAGAGGAATCAAATATTCAAATATTGATGTGGTTGTCCATCTCAACTGCCACATAAGATGGTATAAGGATGTGGTATACAAATGTGGTAAGACTAGCATTATTCAAATATTTTTGGCAAAGCTGAACATTGAGACCAAGAAAAACGCACACAGCTGAAACTTTAGAATGAATATGAGAAAAAAAGATGTCATTCTTGGGGATGGGAAAATCTCCTCTCAGACCCGAAAGAGAAATCTACAACATTTTTAAAGCAAATAACATATTAATATTGTTGGGTGCTGCTAACTATTAGAGTTCTTCTCTACGGTTGATAAAGTGACCATTGTTTTTGCCCTAGTTAAGGACATTAATGTTGCTCAAAGCTGAAGCTCTTGAAGCTCTTGTGCATTGCTTATAATAATTAATTAGATATCAAGATGCCATTGATGTGGCCAGAGGCATTTCGCTCTCATGAGAATGATTAGATACATTAATGCTTGACGAAGTGCGGCTTAACGATGAAACCCTTCGCTTTCCATCCTTGAAACTTCCTAATTCTATCTCTCCAGCTACCATCGCACCGGTTTCACCCCCGGAAGACTTATCAGCGGGTGTAGCCGCATCCGTGCCGGCCCATACATTCGCAGCTGCAGCTGTATTAATACTTTTTGCACCACCAGCTCCTCCGGCATTGCCAACGCCAAACCTAGATCCAGAGCGCCGAGAGATAAGTCTGTATACGAATGTGAGGAACCAGAACACCCATGGAAGGCAAACCAGCGCAACCCCAATAATGGGAAGCCAATAACGACCTCTGGTTTGTGGTTCAGGCAGGATCATGTACATCAGAAGGCACCCGCCTCCGGCCACGACGGATACGAATAAAAAGCAAGAGATGAGACATATGAACGAACCTCCTGGGGCACCTGCATTATTGTATACAGCCATATTGGAAACCAACTCCCAAAAGCATCAAATATATGAAACCTTGATCAATAACATTAACATACGATTCATTTGATCACCACCCTTCAGTTTTTTCATTATATATCTGGATCAAGAGTAATATCGTTTTGTATGAGAGAGGATGGTGATTTTTGTTAGCAATGCAAAGAAACAAGGTTATCGTCCTTGCAGGAGAGAGATGGCCTTCTTGCAAATGTTGTTGGCAATGGGGCCAGAGATGGATGCATCCATGCATGGGGTTTTCAGATGGTCGGTGGACATATTCAACAGGTGTTTACGTAAAACATGGTTTTTGCCAAAACCAACCCGACCGTACACCTACAAAGGATGAGAGGTAAATAGAGAGGGAGAGAGAGAAGCGGGTTCAGTTTCTAGTTTGTACCTTGTTAGGATACATATAAAGGAGGGTTGATGGTTGAATGGTTAATTTGTTACCTCCTAAACTAGCTAAAAGAGATGGCTCAATCATCAAATCTCACATTGTTTGGGCCTCGAATTTTCCAATAACGAAACTTAGCCTTGTCATGAGATATTGGGAGATTTGTCAGCGGATGGCAGTGAGAAACAAGGTAGTAAATATCGATGGTCCAAAAATATCGATGGATATTGACAAGTTATCAATGTTGGTAAAAATTGGATAGAAATATAGGAAGTTATTAATGAAACTTTAGAAAATGTTCATTTAATCAATTATATCTATTATTTTGACAAGAAAGAACTAAATGAAATTCATTGCATAATGAGTTTGAGTAATTTAAGGTAACTATATTACAAGCTCACAAGCACTATGACTTAAAAAATACATAGGAGTTAATAAAAGAAGAATAAACACACCATAATCTTTTACTTATATTTATTTAGTACAATAGTTCACACTTTATACATTGCATGATAAGTTAATTACTTAAGTTACTTGAGTATAAAGTAATTAATTCATAACAAAGAACGTTAATAAATAAAGGATTAAGGATGTTTTAGATTGAATATATCCGGTATCATTATGTTTTCGTTGAAACAGACTTTTAAAAAATAATTAGAGGGTTCTCGTTTTATTCAATGGCTCAAGCGCTAACCGGTTAATTAGTTAATACTACATTAACTACTGGTTTTGGCCCACTTTTATTTATTTATTATTTAATAGAAAAGAAATAAATTTCATTAACCGGATGCATTGGTTACAATAAGGTCATCAATAATAATTCATTAGCCACAGAAGGCCTTCTAACCAATAATAAGGACCTTCTTGTAAAGCAAAACGGGAAATAGCATGAGCCACTTTGTTACACTCCCTAGGTCGAAATTGGACTTCCTTTAAAGAAAATTGCATGAGCAAGTCTCTCACATCATCCATAATGTTGCCGACAGTAGCCCAAATAATCTCCCCTAAATTAATTATCATAATAGCCTCAAAAGAGTAAGTTTCTATGAGGAGAGGGAAAAACCAGCACCTACAGCAAATAAAACTCCTCTATAAATCACTTGCAATTCTGTAGCTAAAATGGAAATCCCGTGAGGGCTTTGCATGGCTAGGGCACCCATAAAAACTCCATAATCATTTCGAACAACTGCACATATACTATACAAGCCTATTGCGTTGTCAGTAGCTCCATCAACATTGAGCTTATAGAAACCTTCAGGGGGACAACTCCTTTAGTAAAAATGAGAAACCTTCAGAGGAAATGTTTAGAGGAAAAGTTTTTGGTGAATGATTGCATTCAAGAATTAGCAAAAAGATAGGTGATGGTGTACTCATATCTGAACATTTCTCACACCAAGTCACTTTATTCACTAACCCAAAAGAGGGAAAAAAAAAATTAATAATATAGTGGAAGCACTTCTAACCCAAAAGGCATATCAAGGGAAATTTCTTTAGCATCAATCATGGCATAAATAAACCCATTTATACTATAGTTTTCAAAAAATAAAACAAGTCCTAATTGTCTTATAGCAGCATCAAGATGCATGTCTTTATATTGTAATTTTATACTGAGTTAATCTTATGCAAAATGTCATGCCAAATAACCAAACTTAATATAAATTCAAAACTTAAAAGCTCTCCTAATGCTAAACTTTGAGCATCCCTACTCAATTTGGTATCTTCACTAATTTTTGTTAATTTAAATAAAGCTTCTCTGATTTGGGAAGCTTGAGATTTTATTACTTTGACACTTTCAATGTGACTTTTCCAACGTGTAGTTGGCAATGATTTCAAAGTCAAACCATCTATGTAATCAAGTAACGCATTCCATCGCTTTGTTGAATTAGAGAATGTCGTATATATGCATTGACATGCTCCAGAAAAAGATTTTGCTTTAACACATGAGTTTGCCATATTTCAAACTATAAAGTTGAGACAATGAGAATCACATAGCATGTAAAAATGCTCTAGGATTTATATCAAGTAATCTTTTTTGTGCACCTAGATTTTTCCCTTTCATATTAGAGCCATTATCATAACCTTGTCCTCTCACATCATCAACATTAAGTATAAGGGACTCAATTACATTTTGCAATTCATTAAAAATTCTTAATCCCGATGTATCTTCCACATTTAGAAACTCTAAAAAGTACCCTTCTATATTTATTGGAGTACTTGAAACATCTACACACCTCAATATTAAAGTCATTTGTTCTTTGTGACTTACATCAGGAGTACAATCAAGAATGATTGAAAAATACTTAGCTGTTTTTATTTTTTCAATGATTGCATGTTTAACATTTGATGCTAAAATAGCTATCAACTCATTTTGAATTTTATGGCTAAGATAATGATAATGAATCTTCTTATCTTGAATGAGTTGAAAATGGTGTTGCAATACTGGATCAAACTCTGCAATCACTTCAAGTATGCCTAAAAAGTTACCATTACCATCTTCATAAATTTTTTCATTTGTTCCATGAAACGCCAAATTATGTATAGCATGACATTTCACAACAGCGATGATTTTGACAATAACATTTTTCCAGTGTAGTGTATCTTTCTTGATTAGCTCTTGTAATTCTTTATCAATTGTTTGATGTGTTTTCAATCTGATTTGCAATTCAATACAAGACCTCAAGTTAGTGAGGTGTTCAATACTACTTTCATGTTGTTTAAGCTTCTCACCAAGATGTTTCCAGTCTCTAGTTCCTTCACTCATTAACTGACTTCTACAATTCATTGATTTAAACAACTAACAACATAAACAAAACACTTTATCCAACTCCTTTGAATACACTAGCCATTTTCAATCCTTAGTTTCCCCATTTGGTAACGTACGAAGATAAAAATTTGAGGGAAAATGTCTATTGTGTTCATCCATGGGGAATTTGAGATTAGTTTCTCTTATGGGACCCTTTTCTACAAGTAAATCTCTCATTTTTGCATCAAGATTATCCCAAACTCGTGGATCATAAATGTTCAAATCAAATCTTGTTTCGGGACATTCATTTTCATGGCAAGGTTCATCAATATTTTCAATTTCATCTATATCACCAATTTCTTCATTCACATCATTCTCATTTTCTGCTAATTCTTCCAATTGAATTGGTTGTTCATATTCATTTGGTAAATCTTCATCTAAATTTTCAAGTGAAGCATTGGTTTGTTTAACAAATATTTATTCAAAGATCAGTGAGCAATTTCTTCTTCTTTTTTCTTTTTGTCTCTTGAGATTTCCGAAAAGTTGTTTCTTAGGAAACATTTTTTAATTTTTATAATAAACACAGCGCAACAAATAAAAAAAACAATAAAACTTGGATTTTGAGCATATTTTCTTCAACTTGAAACTTCCAATTATAAAGAACAAGAATCCCAGCCAAGTTTTCTGTTGAATCAACTAATAAAGAAGAAAAAGTTAATAAAGATATGTATTACAATTTACAAAATTTATACATCTAAATTCTATATGAATCTATAAATTTTAAATAAATAAAAAATTACCTTCAAAGAAAGGCATTGGTCTAGCTTAAGGATGATTTGTTTTCCAAGTCTATGTTGGAGAAGACGAGAATCACCCAAAACAAAATTTACTTGTTTTATGAACTTCTGAGAATGTCAATACGTTAGCAAGGGTTTTTTCTTCTAATTTTTGTGGCTACGAAGCTCTGTTTTGATTTTCCCAAAATTTGTTTTATATTATATTGTATAATTAATAATAGACTTTTCTTCATCATTACGTTTCTTGAGATTGAAAATATAATAAGTGATTAATTGGCTTCCTCTTTGGTATACAGGTACAGACGGTTTGGTTTTGGTCTTTTGTTTTAAATTTTTTTATTTTTTAAATACATATATGCATAGGCTTTTTAAAAAAAAATTTGAGCCCCCCTCAGCTTTTGGGCCCCGGGCTGTTGCCCTGGCCCAAGGCCGCCTCTGAGAGGAACCTCGTGCTTTTCTAATTCTAATTACAGAAGAAATTTGTCATTACAAAATTTCGTAGAGGTACTACCGCAAACCATCATTGGGTGTGGACAGAACAACGGTGGCCTCTTCCAAGGGGACGCATCAGGTATGATTGGCCTTGGACGTGGATTAGTGTCCCTTATCTCTCAAATGGGTTCTTCATTTTCAATTGATGGAAAGTTCGATTGCCTCGTGCATGCTTTTTCGAAACCCAACTCAACAAGCAAAATGAACTTTGGCAGCAAAGATGTGGTTTCTGGCTTTGGCAGCAAAATGAACTCTCAAATGGGTTCTTCATTATTTGTAGGACAACCTAGACTTTCTATTTCCTGAGATTGGAGGCGATGAGTGTGGGACGTAAGAGGTTGCGATATAACACTTCCTCGTACTCCCCGCTGGCTGCTGCTTCTGCTTCTGCTTCATCAGGAAGAGGCATGGACAATATTATCATCGACTTCGGGACTACATTGACATTTTTACAAGACTTTTACAATAAGCTGGAATCGACTCTGAGTAAGGCCATAAAACTAAAGCACATAAACAAACTCGTTACAACCCAAGGCTTTGCTGCAACACAAAATCGGAGATCAAAGCTCCAATAATCACTGCACATTTCATTGGTGCAAATGTGAAGTTGAAAGCTTTGTATACCTTCATAAGATTGTCAACTGATGTTGTCTGCTTTGCTTTCGGACCTACTTAATTAGGTATTTCCATCACTGGCAACATGGCAAAAAGGAATTTCTTGTTATGCTATGACCTCAACAAGGACAATCTCTCTTTTAAGCCTACTGATTGCACTAAATATTAACTAGCCGGTGAGTGCATATGTGCTTGCTTATATGTATGAAGAATAAAATTTTAAACATCAACTGCATTTTCAACTAGCTAAGCTATTGCCGACAGTTAAGAACTTGCAAGGAGCTTGAAAAATACCTCTCATAAAATTAATTAGCGGCAAGCAATGGTACAATACAGTAGAGTACAACAGGCAGAGACTGCTACCCATTCAAAGTACGAGGGTACAGCTCACTCTCTCGGTGTTAATCAAACACCTGTGTGAACAACTAGCATCCAATTCAATGGAAAATGATTTGGAAATCGGTGCTTTACCTATTTCTATTAACACCGAAATTTACAAAAAAAGAATTTCATACCAGAAAACAATTGGCCTTCTTTTCAGACCATGAAGAATAGCAGATTTGATCTACGACGTGGACGTGGTACAGCCTCCTATATTTGTGCAACAAGGAGTTCATTCCATGCGTCTGGAATTCCAGGTAGGCACCAGTGCAAGCAATCATTTATACCAGCATTTCCTTTTCCTCTAATGCTGTAGTGCGATATGTGACCCTCATCCCTTAATTGAGAAAGAGCAGTTATGTCCAAAATCTTTATCTTTGTACCTTTCAAAGCACCATCGATTACTGAATCACTTGATCCTTCTTGGACCACTTCACTTCCTCCAGCCAATGGAGTAGTATTATCACAGGTACCCCCCAGTATTCCAGTCACCGTTAAAGAAATGCCTCGGTGAGATAGTCCGAAAGAAAGCTTTGAGGCGAGGATGCGATGGAAGTTGTGAATCAACCCACCTGACAACACTATACACAGTAAAATTCTTGGCATTCCCAATTTCTGCACGCTTCTTATCTTCGTTGGGCTTTCCATCTACATACATTACCCACCGGTTTCCATTAATCTTTCCCCTGTTCCAATGATGCCCAGTATTAAGAACAAGCACATCAAAGCGATGAAGAAATTGTCTCATGAAAGCTGGGGGACGATCCAGATGCATTGCAATATCACTGGCTTTGTCCGAGATGTTAAGGGGCACCAGATCGCAGAGGCTTGCTGACCAGTAATATAAGATAGTGGTATTAGTGTCCGGGAATCGATAAGCCCAGCCATCAGGACGGATGGCTCCACGACGTTTGACAAGGCCATATTCCTTTCCGACATTCTGCACTTCTGGGCTGTCCTCACCACCACTTGCCATACACATCAAAGACTGGAATTGCTGTCGACCCAATGAATCTCCTATAAAAGCAATTGTTTTGTCCTGCATTCTGAAAGCAGAGTCACATTTAGAACATTAAAGCACAATAAACAATTTCTGTGTATAGAATGGCATCAAATCTTATACTCAGGAGACCACCTCGTTAAAGGATTCAGAAGGCTATATGAAAAGGATCGTTTACGACTTGAGGATATAATCTAGTGGAAAAGTTTAGGAGTGGTTGAAGTGGGAACCAGTGGGGAAGCATAAGCTTTCAGTCTAAAATATAGAAACAAAGTGAAGGACAAGTTGAAGCTTTTCACAAGTTAACCAGGCAAGAAGCACTTAATTAGACAATCACAAACTGTACTTGGGAAAAGTTTGTAAAAATAATGGAAGATAAAAAAAATACCAAAAACAGCATAATCAGAGCTGTTTCTCATCCAGCGGAAACGTCTTTGAAATGAAGAAGAAGACCATAACTTGCACAACAAATAAATAAGTTCAAACATAACAGAGTTACCTTCTCAAGAAGGTAGAGCGCTCAAAGTCTGGCATTTCACAATTCATTGGCTTCCATCGGTATCCCTCAAAAGAAAAATCTGTTCGTTGTGTTAGTCTACATGCCCACATTTCTGATAACCACTGCTTACACTTCAACCCAGAATACAATGACCGCCTGCTGTCTGCAACCCATCTACCCTTGGCATAATTACACGCTGGAGAGATGAAAACTGCATAACCTTAGAAACCATTTAACCATTGCATGACATGATGTGACCAAGAATTAAATCTGAACTATGGAAGCCTTTCAACGTAGCAAAGAAACAATGTAAACAGTATTTCAAAAGATAGATGAGACTTTCCATCGAAAAACTACACGTATAATGTATTTATATTTCTATCAACTTCATCAAAGTATAATTGAACAGTTCTGCTATTCTTTTATAGAACAATTTTACCATTGAAGATTGACCTAACTTAACCGGAATCAAACTTTACAAGAGTAAAGGACTCAGATTACATAAACAACAAGAGCCAAATTAAGTTCAGAAATTACTAGTTTTTTCTAACAACATATATACCTCCAGAATTATATTTCATCAAACTGACAATTTTGATGTTCAATTATAACTATCATCAATAACATGTTTATAAAATGCCTTCCATGCGCATTCCCTTTCAGTATTAATATAATCTCTAGTAAACTTTATCTACAGAAACCTCTCTCCTCCCAACTCCCAACCAACCAAAAAGAAAATAAAAAGAAAAGAACACACTCATAATCAGCCAGATCTCATATCAAGCAATCTTACGTTTAATTGTCTACAAGAGTTCTTTTACACCCTGCAACTCCTTCACTCTTTCCTACTACGTCATAAATTATTCTTTTTGCTCTATTGTTTTATATTCTTGAGGTGGAGGCTGAAGGTGCTAGATTAGAATTTGGTTGGCAGTGCTTTCACCCAAGTTTTTCTTAGATCCTTCAAACTTTATTTCAAACAAGTTCTTCAATATTCTCTAGAATGCAAACAATTTGATCAGCAACAGGTGTTATGCACTTGATGGGATGACACAACTTTATGTCGTTTTAAACCATATAATGTGATGTGAACAGAGAAATCATCTTCTTTTTTCTGTGAAAGACACTATTTATTTGTTTTTCTATTTTCCTTTCTAGAATTAGCAACTGCAGCACCTTTTTGTCTCTATTCTTGATCTCTCCATGCCCTCCTTCCACCACACCTGATTTGGCTAAAGCGCCCCCCCCCCCCCCCCCCCCCCCCCCCCCCCCACACACAGAGAGAGAGAGTGAGAGGAAAAGGTTTTCCCAATAAGACAGACGTCTGGGAGAGATTTTAGGGCATCTTTTGAACATGCGTCCTTACTTGCTTTACCCTCTTTGTTTTTATTATCTTTCACATTTTCTGTCAATGTGGATTTGTTTCTATACAAAAGCAAATCTTTTTTTCTGGCTAAAGCCTAGAAAACCAAATAAACAGCACAAAATACCTTCTCACTCCCCCACTTCCCATATCTTCCCCAAGTTCCTCAATATCATTTCCGTCTTCCAAAGCACATTCTCCAAGAACCCATCAATCTCACATTCAACCCATCTTTAAATCCTCTCTCTTAAGAACCATCATACCCAACACAAACTTCTGCAAATTGGAAAAACTTAAGAGATAAATTTTATTGGCAATCAATCAATCAATGCAACGCTGATGATTCACGGATATTCACCAATTTACTACTGTCTGAAGCTCAACAGGCTGGGACCCTGACATATGGCTTGGGCAGGGGTAATACCAAGGGCAGGCATGTTGCATTGGGTGTGGATGAGGGAAAGTGAAATGGATCAAGGATGTATGAAGAGGCGCTGCAGCTTCCTCGTTCAGTCTCTTTAATTTCTTCTTATTTTATGAAATGAATTAAAGGACAAAACAAAGGATCTTAAATAATTCTAATCAAGATAATGTCAGATCAGCAGACATGTCAGTATATGTGGTGTAAAACCGTAATTAGAAATAAAATTCAGCCATGTCATTATTTTCTTAAATCCAAACATGCACACAGTAAAGGCAAAAAGAAAACAAACTTGAACGATGCAACTTTAAGGATGATGAAAACCCAAGAACCAAATTGTAGTGTATCCACTCTTTATTCTCTCTGTTACTTCATTTGCACCTATTTGTACAAATTTGTCATAAAATGATCAACCAGATGTCTAGCACTTGTTCCAATAGGCCAGAATTTAATAAACTTGGGCCCTCCTTACCAAACCTCAGATCCCATACCATAATACCATGGGAGTGGGACATCATCAAATTATCAATCTAAATAACAAAACTGTTCTTTTCCCAGATCCAACTGTCGTTTGCAACTAATTTAATTTTGAGCTTAAAGCAATAACTTTTTAACTAACAGTTGCCATTAAACCCAGAAAACTTTACTCGTCACATTACACAACTTCTTCCTACTCTGCCACTCATGATCCAACTAAATTTTATTGCATATTTTCCACACAGGAAAAAGAAACACACACACACACGCATGCACACGCACACAAGAAGAAATGGTTTGGGAATTTCCATTTCACTTTTGATAGACCATCAATCTCTAAAACGGAGTCATGCATTGGTAGGGGAAGGGTTGACAAGTAATTGACCAGTGAAACAATCAAACAAGGCAAAGAATAAATTGAAGGACATGGATTGTGGCAGGACCAGATATATAATAATATGAAATTGTGTAATTACACAAATTAGATCCTTTTGCCTAACCAGTTTCTATAAACACCACCTTGAAGTTCTAATTGTTAACAAACATCAATAAGAATACAATCATGCCATGTCAAATAAGCTAATGGCGTGAAATGATCATGGTACACTGACAACAATCGATCCCCTAATAAAAAATTTCTTTTTATGGCCATCTTGGCCACCCCTGTATTTTATTGTTATATGCAATAAAATACAGTTTCTTTCTTCAAAGACTAAAAACTAAAAACAATTCGCAGAGGCAGATTGAACGCATTATATTTATCAGGCATGTCATTTTAACCGTCTCTACTCATTACATTAAATAATAAAAAAAGAGAGCATTCAGATCTCAACACAAGTTCAGTTCACTAAACCAAGAAGATAACTGTAATTCAGGGCAAACGGAATAACGATGAGGCTTAAAAGGAACTGTACCTTCAGTCTGGAAAGAAGATTGCATGTTCCCATCACTTTCTTGCATTCCAGGAGAGAATGCGGCTATAGAATCTATTGGTGCAGTGCCAAAATTTTCTACCACTTTTGTATCTTCATTTGTGATCGAATGTGAATCCTTCCCTTGAACACTTTCATTTTTCTTCATAGGTTTTGAGGAATTATTTGCTGAGTCTCCAAGAAAATCTAAATCACAACAGACAATTCATCAGTAGGCAGACAAACTGAAGCAGGTATGAAATGATTCGTGATATCATTAATATCTCCAGAACTTTATAGGTCAGCCCTTTTAGTATTGCCCAATTAAGCAGGAAAAACTAGTTATAAGTAGCTGAGACTGAAGCTCGCAATGACTTAACACATTTCAGCATGCACCATATTCTAATTTCTACAGCATGTGAATCTGATGAGGTCAGCTAGAGATCCTTAGATCCTAATTACCTGGACAGATACATAAGTTCCCATTCACTATTTAGCTCTTTTGAGAGCCAAGCAAGCAACTAACCACAAATCATGTCATTCTCCTATCTTCATTAGCAGGCAAATTCTTTCTCTCTCAATCTCACCCTAATTCTCTACACTGATTTATTTTTTTTTTTTTTTTTTTTTTTTTTTTTTTTCACGCAAGCATTGTTATCCACATATCCTACATCACCACCCAAGTTCAACCATCATCATATGCATATTCGGATTTTTCTTAGTAAGCAAGTTGTCCATCTGTTATCATATCCTTATTTTGATTTTACTTGTACAGTGAACAACTTTTTATTTATTTATAAGGAAACAAGATAATATTGAAAGTAAGGGAGGGAAACAAGAGGAAAAAAAAAAAAAACTATAAATATGCCCTCCATCCATTCTTATTACACAGATTTACAAATAAAAATTATTATTATTGCTTCTTTTTTTTAAAACAGCACCAAGGTGCTCCATGGCCATCAGGTTTTCTGTATACCCAGTTCTTGTAGTGTGCTCTATATAGCTTGCAGAATCAAGTAATAATTAAAATATAAACGATGGTAGTATGTGGAATCACATAAATTGTCAAATAAACAACATAGATTCGATAATTTTTTGGTACAGTTTCCTTCTCATTTCTTATAACTATTTGTTATGCTTTCAGCAAAAAAGGAATCTTGCTAAAATGTGTTTTAAAGGTAGGGTATTATTTAAATGTGATCACTGCAAATCATCATTCAGATGAGCAACTACTTTTTCACTGCCTTCTAACATTGTCCAGAAAGTGTGGGCTACAAAGGACAAAGCAAAGCAGATTCAGTTCTTGAGAGCGGCTACATCAAAATGCCACAAGATACCATTTCACTCCTAGCAATCCGATATGGAAATACCAAAAATTAAGTCATAAGTTTCTATGCCACCCCGGTTTGCAAAGAGGCTGTGGCAGGCACTTCAAAACATATAGCAGGCACAACATGAAAGGGTTTTTTTTGGGTCCGAATATAAAAGGTATTAACAAAGTTTTTCACAAACATTAACCCAAATAATAGTCAAACAAAAAGGTCTGGGGTAACATATTTAAAAATTCCAAGAAATGGTTGGCCACTTTGTTTAAGACGTTCTTAATTTAGTTTTCATGCACATTTTAATTATTGCACAAATATAAAAATAATGCAGCAAGTTTCATTGAGAACAAAACAAAAAAGAGAAAAGATACACATGTAGCTGAACACACGTATGGATCAGCAAACAAACCTATTGAAGGCACTGTAAAATGCTCCCGGGCCAGTAGTAGAGTATCAGCAAAAGGATTTTTCTCCCAAGCCCAAAGTAATATGGTTGTACAAATCAAGGCAGCCAGAGTGAGAGAGATTCGTTTTCCCATCAATCTAAAGTTATATCCCCCTTTCATCTCCCAAGCAAAAGGCAATTGCTCAAACGCACCTCAACTTTTTGATACTGGAATACGTTCAGCAAAACTCCATCATATAACCTTCACTGGTGATTGTTGCCACACTGGAGGGTGGAAATCAAAGTCATTGGAAGAGAAATAAAAACCCAGAAAAGGAAGTATTCTTAAATTTAATTTGAAATATTCATGGACATATATTTGGTAACAAAAAAAAAACATTTATAAATAGGAACGCTCACTCAGTCTTAAAAAAAAGAAAAGATAAATGCACTCATTACTCATTCATACAAATTTTTTTTGCATTTTCCCAATTGTGCAGACAGATACATTGAACTGGCACTTTTGCGTATAACGGGAAAAGACAAAAACTATTATCTCCCACACGTAAGGACATGGCTATATCTTTGTAAGAAGACCCTAAAACAAGAATGAAAGCTTTGTGTACCGGCTAAATATGGCCGAAATCAACCTATTGGATGGAAATATCAGATGAAAAGAAGGAAGTTTCCAAATTCAAAATTCAACATATTTCAACTGAAAATCCACCGAAATTGAAGATGGAAAGAGGAAAGATAAGAAATCCCTAAAATCCAATCCTAATTAGAGCTGTAAATTCCTCATTAAGCCAAATCTAACCATCAATTACCCAAATGAAGCTGACGATCCACTATCCCAGCAAATTAACACCAAAGAATAAATAAAAAATTATTCAAAACATTACAGAGCACTTACTACTCAGTAGAAGAAAAAAAGGCAGAGCTGGGTCACCTCTTTCAGTTTCTTCAGGCCTTTTTGCAGACAATGCGAGCCCGTGAAGCATCTCTGGCGACCACCATTCAACACAGATCGGCACCCCACACCACCAACCTCTCTATAAATGAGAGGCCTTCGTTCCTCTGACGATTAGCACCGCAACACACCAAGAGCTTCGTCTGCTTCTTCTTCCGCTAACCCAGAAACCTTGGATCTCTCTCTCTCTCTCTTCAAAAGGGGTGGGAATATGGAAGAGCAAAAGCATGAAGCAAATTGGTGCGGAAAGCAGAACTAAACGCAGAGAGATTTTTCGCAAAGAAACGGAATTTTTTTTTAATATTTAAAATATTAAAATGAGAAATACGCTGAACTATTTGTCCTGGTGGCGATCTCTTAGTTGTTTGTTAGATGATGACAACACATCAGCTTCTATCACATTTGGAACTCAAGAGTTTCTCCTTTTCTATGTAGCTCTCGATTTTCTTAGAAAAGCGATAAGGCCAACGACTAGTGGAAAAGGACCTTGATTTGCAGATCAGATGTCTCATATTCAAACTCTTATGGCATCATTTGTGTATGTGAGAAAATTCGCTTCCTCTCTAATTTATTCTAGAGTACATATCCTTTGGCCCCTTTGTTCGGGCCTAAATTCTGCGCACCAGCCCAATTGACATTGGTCCATATCGGAAAACAGAAGTTTGGGTTTTAATTTGAAATCAGAAATCAGCCCAAGTGGTTTCAAAGGCCCAGATCTTTGTGAAAAAATTAGCAAAAGATTAAAATTGCAGACTAAATATTAATTGCCACTAAATGGCGACTAAATCTGAACAAATCAAAGCTTCTAATTAATTTCAAGATTAGGCCCAGCTTCCAAAAAACTCTCACCGTTGATCTCAATCCCAGAGTGCAAGTCAGCGGACGTTTTGGGAAGATTTTTTTCTCAAAAAAAGAACCCACATGACTTTCTGACTTTGAAAAGTCAAAATTTTCAACTAAGGCAGAGGAAGTGATAAGGAGTTAATGAAAACAAGTTAACCAGAAAACACTCTCCATTTAAAATGCCAGTAAAAGAAGACCAGGTTCCCTTTCTATATGTAGAAAGGCTCTGAATCATAGTAGGTTACATTTTCAAGAGATAAACAGGGAGCAGGAGAGTTGTTCGCCAGAAAAAGCAAACGGACTATCATGGCAGGTTATGTTTTTGCAAAAAACAAACAGAGAACAGGAGAGTTGGTTTTCTAGAAAAAGCAAATGGACCATCACAAAAACTGATTGTTGATAGTTCTTTTTTGCCAAATTAATAACTTCCCTCTTCTCTGCATTAGAAAGGGAAAATCTTTTTCAAAAGATCTGCCCTTAGATATTAAAAAAATACAAAGCCTTATTTAGATTATCTATAAATATAAGAGAAAGTGAACAGGGTTACGGCAGCCAAAAATTCAATCAAAACAAAAACTCTCAAAATCACACTGTCAAATTTAAAACAAGGTTAATTGATCTCAAAATGTCTTCAGACTCTGAAGCAATCAAACCCTTTGATTCAGAAAAGATAGATCAGCCAAAACTCAGGTTCTTGATTTCAGGAAAGAAAAAAAAACAGTTTACAAAGAAAATGTTACAAATTTGGTTCAGCACAAGTCAAATAAAACAGAATTCATATTTCCCATAGCCTGAAAACCTCAACAAATTTACCGAGATGTCTTGAGCCCTTAGAATCGCCAAAATAGCCCTTGGATGATTCATCATCAAGCAGAACAGGTGTTGCAGTATAGCTCCAGGTCAATAATCATCAACTCAGCCACTCCTAGCCCCGTCCAAACTGAACAAGTCTCAATTCTGTCCATCTTGCAAGCCTCCCCATGGCTAGAATAGATTAAGAGCAATGCCAATCCCGACATTGGTATCGATTTCCAATTGAACCCCATCAGTTGAAGGTGCTGACGTTTGAATCCAGCATAGTTATACCTAGTTCAGCCTAAGTCACATGCAATAATCCAAGTAGAAATCGAAGCCCAATATTCTGTTCTCCCTGCAGACATGGTAGTTCCCTTTTATCCTCAAAGTTCTGTAATAGGCAATTTTTCTTGAAAAAAATAATTTGATTTATTTTCAATATTTATTTTTTCCAAAACTACCAGTTTACTGTGATAAATTGTGAAGTCATCAGTCTGAGACAAGAAAAGAACTTACTTAAGAGATATTCATCACCCAAATTCACAATCACTTGTTAAAGTCAGTAACTTGGGGCGCAAGTTATCTATTTTTTCACAAGTCTGTTAAGGTTTTTAATTGCTAAAAGAGGCACGCTCGCACACCTAAGAAAGTTGACTCATTGACCACCAATGATTTTCAAGCCAAAGGAGAACTTTACCCTACCATCATAGGATTAAATCAAAACGAGTGAACTCCTTTTTTTTATGTTCCTCCTCTATCTCCTACTCTAAATTTTGACACATACCCATGTCCTATCATTTAAAACCAAAAAACCAAAACTTAACAATGTTTAACTTTTAAACTAACTCTGTTATATCCAAATAAAAAAATGAAATGTTATCAAATGCTTCATCTTCTCTATCAATATTATCAAATTTTCTTCTTCGCACCAATTTCTTCATCGCTAGCCAATGGTTCACCCATCAGTTCATTAGTAAAAAAATTTATTTTATAACATTTTCATCTCTTCTTTGTCCTTGAAACTTTGGTCAAATCTCACTTCCCCCCTCAAAGTTAAAGTGGCCCACTTAACCCCCTTTACCGTGATTTTGTGTTCCACTTTATCCCTCACTGTTATCTCCATTAATAACTCTGTCAATTTTGATGACGTGGCAGGGCTATTTTAGTCTTTTTACCACAAGTGATGATGTGTCATGTGAATGGCCCACTTTTTTCTGTTTAAATTGAATTAAATATAAAATAATTATATATATAATGGGAAAATTAATACACAAAACCCCCAAATTAAATTTTATCCACATTGGAATCAAAAGGTCTTCTTTTTTTAAGAGATTGTAATTAAGAGACATAATGTCTTGAATGAGTCGTACCTAAATTAATAAAACTCAAGTATGTTTGGGTCAAGAGTGAAATTGTGTTGGGTGAAGGTTCATACGAATTACTTGTACTATTTTTGCCTAACAAAAACCATATGCATTGTGAGATCTCTGAAACCTGGTACATACCAAGAGTTAGACTCAACTACACAAAAGATCCTTTCCTATACCCTCTTTTCCATAATTACTTTCTCAACCCAAGAACTCTAATCATCACCTCATAACATGAGGAACTTCTCAAATAATTCCCCATTTCACTAGTCACCTGAACCAATCATAAATAATCATATTCCAAAAGTAATTTCATATCCAAGAGTTCCTAAACATTCAAGAGAAACAATATTATACAAGAATCATAATTTTCCAAATTCAATTTCTCAAAGATCCTTAATAAATCATCAAAAAATCACTTAAGGGCATTTTCGTCCAAATTACTTTTAAACACTCTTAACTCTAATATTTTCCAACCAGAAAATTAAATGCTATTTTCTAAGCACCTCAAAATATTCAGAGTCTCACATGCTTCTTTTAAGAGGTGATTCTGGCCTATCAAGAATCACTCACAAACGTGCCTTTACAGAGAGGCTAATCAAGTTGATGATCTTCTAGTTAAGAGAGGCCAAAATCATTCTCATCCATGTATTTGGTTTAAATTCCTTTCATCAAACATTAGATGGTTTGTTAAATGTGATTTGTATGGTGTTAAGATTCGTCGTGAATCTTTGTTGTAATTTTCTTTATATTTTAAAAAAAAACTTGAGCAAAGGACTCACTAATGTAGTTGTTTGGAGCAATTGCTTCCTCAGAAAGGGTTTTAGATTCGAGTCCTAACATCCGTGTAGTATGTGTGAGTTTAATATATTGTCGCCCCTCTTAATGAGAAAGATCTTTATAAAAAATAAAAAAAATAAAAAAAACTTGAGAAATGAGCGAGTATGGCATGCTCGTAAAAATGGTGTATAATCTATATATATAAAGCAAAAGGCAGAGAATGGTAAAACATTCAAAATACTAGAAAATATCCTTGGTTAATGCAAATATTAAGAATTAAAATGATTAATTAAATGAGGATAATATGGAAAATTCACACTTTTTCATATTAAGAAATTAAATTAAAATAAATATCAGATAACGAATCTTATTTTTATGGAACACAACTACTCATTATCTTTTTAAATTCTAAAATAAATTTAAATTTTTTTTAAAAAAGGCCTCTCGCATTCGTGGGTCATAAATCTATATATATATAAAGCAAAAGGTAAAGAATGATGAAACATTCAAAATGCCAAAAAAATGGTCTATGGTTAATTGCAAATATTAAGAATTAAAATTATTAATTAAATAAGGATAATATGGTAAATTCACACTTTTTCATATTAAAAAAATCTTTACTTTTTAATTCTAAAAAAAAAAAAAAAAAAAAAAAATTAAAATAAATTTTAAAAAAAAAAAAAAAAAAAAAAAAAAAAAAAAAAAAAACTGGCAGGTGCAGAAGAGCATGGGGAGAGACTAGTGATACAGAAAGGGAATGCAAATAAAGTCTCCTCCTCATGAAAAAGAATAATAAGAATATTTTTTAGGACAAACTACAGTAAACCCCCCAACTTATAGGGTCATTTACGAGTTCATACTCGATTTTGGATACATTTACGAGTACATACTCAACGTCGCGGAAAATCTACAATTTGCCTCCTCCGTTAGCCAAACCGTTAGTGAATCTGTTAAATGTAGACGTGGCGAATGTGAGTTTCCATTTTTTTAATGAGGTGGACTTACAAGTGGACAAATAAATACTAAAAAAATTCTATATTATTTAAAAATAATTATAAACAAGTAAATAATATTATTCAATTAAATTAAAAATCAAAAATCAAAAGAAAACAATTTATGTTCGTCTCTTTCTCTTCCTAGCCCCACCCCACCCCACCCAAACTAACTGGCTCTTCCCACACCCCCCATTGACCCACCCTCCTTCCGTGCAGTGGCGGACGCACGTTGGGACAAGAGGGGTCGCACGACCCCTTGGGATGCAGGAAATACGGTTGTGGACTCCATGAGAGACCCCTTGGACAGCAGAAAACTGCCCCTTTGTGTGCACACAAGGTGCTCGGTGAAAGTCCCCTATGGGTATTGGAGAGAAAGAAAGTGTTGGGGAGGGAGAGAAGAGAAGAAAAAAAAATGAGAGAGAAGAAGAAGAAGAAAGAAAGAAAGAAAGAAAGGGAAAAAAACAAGAAAAAGAGTGAAGATAGATGGGGATGGAGTGGCGGGGAGGTTGGGAAGAAAGAACCAGAGAGGAAGAAGAAGGAAAATAATAAAGAAAGAAGGAGAGAGAGCGGGAGAGAGACAGAGAGAGAAAGAAAGAATAAAAAAAAGAAGGGGAAATATTAAATAAAAGGAAAAAAAAAGGATACTATTCGATACGATATAACACCAAACGGGATGAGAAATATGGAATCAATGTCGTGTCAAACAGAAACGGTATGATATTGTATCATACTATTTATTATGCAACACCGAACAACATGGTACGAGATTGACACCATTTGAGTTCGGTACCTGTTTTTCTATTTTGATGCCCAGCACTACCTGGCCAAACGACGTCATTTGGTACATGGCTCATTTCATTTTTTTTTAAATTGAACTAACCTAAAAAATACGTTATTTTGAGCCAGGCTTAAAAAAAAATTTATATACTTTTACACTAAGACCCCTTAACTCGAGAATCCTGAATCCGCCACTACCTCTGTGCACATCGCCTTCAAAGTCATCGCCACTGACCTTGCTGTCATTGGATAGAACCAAGGACAAGATCTCTATCCTCATCAACTTCCTCTTCCTCTTGCTTTCCTCGGAGACCTCTCTCACCATCGCTGCGCACACAAACAGCCCATCTGAGGGATTCAAAAGAGATGAAATTGCACTTTCTGGATATGAGTTTGATGAATATCAAAGGATTGATCACCAATGTGATCCAATTTTGTTTTCTTTTTTTTTTTTTTTTTTTTTTTTTTTTTTATTACCTTTACCTACCTTCTTTCTTTTCTTACTAAAATTCTAAGGGATTCAAAGGAGACGAGACAGAGCCAGGTCCTGATTTGAAATCGAAACCCATTTTATCATTTGGGCTCTGACAACCTAACCACCTTGGTTTTGCAGATCGAAGGTTCATGAGGGGTTGGGTTCGCGACGATGTCAACATCAACGCTTTGTGTATAATTGTGCGGTGATGGGATGCTAAGATGTCTGGTTTCAGTGACACTGTGTGTGCTGTGTGGAATCCTAGGTGGATTTACAATTTTCGCTTTTCAAGGAGATGTGGTTCTCGCTCGTGGGTAATCTCTGCCCTCTTTTTTTGGGGAAATTCAGGTTTTTATTTAGAATCATAGATACATTCACTGAAGGAGCCCTGAAGAGTTGTTTTTCCTTTTCTTTTTCTTTTTTTTCTTTTTTTGAACTTTATTGCGTTGTGTCTTTTTTCCCCCTTTGGTAAATTTTGAGCTTCTGAAAGGTTGGCATAATGTAGAACAGGCAAAGGTGAATAAACTGAAGTAATGGTACATGTTTTAGGTTGTGATCGGTGTAATGAATTTTTATTTTTTATGGAGATTAAGGATTATCATATCAATTTTTTCCTTAAAAAATTCAATCTTTAAATTTTATGGGTTTTGGTTATGTGAATTGTGTTATATTTAGCAGATGAAAATGGTGATGGGTTGTTGTAATTGATGTTTTAAGTTGGGTTCCAAATCTGGGTTTGTAAATATGAGGGCAAAAGAAATGGTGATGGGTTGTTGCTACCGTCATTGTTGTGAGCTTGCTTGAGTAGAATGTTGGGCAAGATGATGGCTGCGACGGAAAAAGGGGGAGGGGGGGCAGAGATGGAGAGGGGGTTGGGAAGGGGTTTGCAAGGTCGTCGTGGTGGTTGGCTGAAGAGAGATGAGATTTTTTTTTCTTTTTTTATATTCATTTTTTAATGATTTTAATATGATTTAAAAATTATTTTTAACATGTACATGATTTTTTTTTGTCCACGTGGAAGTCTACGTCATCAAAAAATGGGTCACATTTTTGACACGTTAGCATTTAACAGACTCACAACCAGTTGGACTAACGGATGGGGCAAATTGTAGGTTTTCCGCGACGTTAAGTATGTACTCGTAAATATTCCCAAAATCAGATATGAACACGTAAATGACTCTATAGATTGGGAGGTTTACTGTATTTTGTCATATTTTTTATTATATTGTATTAGTCGGTGATGGTTTTCCATTTAGGCACATGGCACGTCGTGCCGCGCGCTCTTCTCTTCTCCTCATTATGATTTTTTCTTCTTATTTTCTTTTACATCCACCGACATGCAAAACAGGAAGGCCACTTCTCTTATTAGTAATAATGGAAATGCACCTGACACACTTTGACCAATCAAACGAGAGAGAAAGAGGAAAATCATTATTAAAAAAATCATTTTCTCTCTCCCCAGTCAAATATTCCTCCGTCGATTTGTTTGGTGAAAAACCCAATATGTGAGTGTATCCAACAACAACAAAAAAATTAAATAAATAAAAATTGTGAGTGTAATTCCAACTTAATTCATATTGGGTAAATTCCACTTCCACGATCCTATTACTTTTGTTATTCTAATTGCAATCTTATTTCCAAATTAATTTAATAAAACGTAAAATATATCAGTAAAAAATTGAACTGCGAATCCAAATTTAACGTTAATAATTACTAGAGATGGCAACGAAACAAATTGGGTCGGGTATGTCATTGCCATCCCTTCTTATTTTCTTTAATATATTTTTTTTTCATAAAATGGATTATAATTTTATCCTCACTCAGTCTTGAACACCATATATGAAACTTTCTCCAAACCCAACTCCGTATCCTTTTTGATATCATTCATACATCTATATATATAAAGCAAAATGTAGAGAATGGTAAAATATTTAAAATACCAAAAAATACCCTTAGTTAATGCAAACATTAATAATTGAAATTATTAATTAAATGAGGATAATATGTTAAATTCACACTTTTTCATATTAATTTTTTTTTAAAAAGAAAAATCAGATAATAAATCTATTTTTATAGAACACAACTACCCATTATCTTTTTTAATTCTAAAATAAATTTAAATTTTTTTAAAAAAAAACCTCTCGCAAACACGGAAGGACGTGCGAAGAGACTAGTGATTTATTAAGAGCAAAGCTCCACGAGACCTTATCTTGGGAGGAAATTAATTTTCAAAGATTACTATGAGTAGATGGTTTATTTATAACAATGCATTCATGTATCATCATACAAAAGCTGTAAGCAAAAAAGTTAGGTAGGGAGGTATTTTCTTTTGTGCTTTTGTTTTGTTTTTAGTTTGTGTGGTTTTGTTTTGTTTTGCTGCAACAGTCAACGGCCAATGATATCACATTTGCAGCATAGGATATTGAATCATTACGTTACGGGATGCTTTTCTATCAACGATATGCATGCTTAAATTTCCTTCTATGAATTTTCATTATAACCGCTTTTACTAGAAAGGTTGGTTGCTGGTCAGTCTGTCGGCCAAATCCTCATGTGTAATTTAGCTAGCCTAATTCTCTAGAGAGTAATGCTATTTAGACACACAACATTGACACACTTAGTGACACATGCTGATGTGTCAATGTATCATTTGCTCTTCTTTTCTCCTCGTTTTCTATTCAGCAAATGATACATTGACACATTAGCGGGTGTCAACTAAGTGTGTCAATGTTGTGTGTTCAAATAGCATTACTCTTCTCTAGAGCGGTGCCTGTCACCCCTTAGTCAAGGTTCTAATTATAAATTATCGCTTCTTAACAAGAGAAAATTAAAAAAACTAATGTTTATTTTGACCAATCCTTCCATTGACCATGATAAGCTACCAACCGTGCAGTACTCTATTGCATAAATTAAGCACTACGTTGAGTAAACCCCAAACCTCATTAAATTTACATCTCAAATTTAATCATTTCAATTAAAGCTCCCTTGGTTAGATCTCAAGCATAATCACCCCCAAAATAAAATAAAATAAAACCACTGAAATACACCCATTTCATGATAACGATGAATCTATTGTTGCCAATTTGATTTGTTCATTTTGAATTTTTTCTATTTTAACCCCTTACTTCTCTTTGTTCACCTCATATTCTAAGTTCACCCAACTTCTAATTCAAATTTTTACAATTTCTAAGAGAATTCCACTATTTTCCCAAACTACCCCTAAAATACACACACAACAGAAGGAAAAGAATTAAAAAAAAACTCATCAAATTGCAACCCACACCCCACACCCCGCTATCTTTCCCCTCGCAACTCTAAGTTCACCTCAATCCCACATTATTTAAAGAGATAAAAACACTATTTTCAAACTCAATTGATGACCTACAAGCCATTATTTGCATACCGTATTTAGGGTTTGTGAAGAAAAAATGAGAGTGTAGTAGATTTCTTGGATTGAAAGAAAAGAGTAATTTGACAATAAGGTGTAGATGAGTTTATGTTTTTGTGTTTTTCTAAAATTTAATATGAAGAGTGGTGGGGTGTGTATATAGATGTATTAGGATTAAAAGTTTAATAATAAAATTGGATGACTTTTTTGCCTTTTTACATAATAATAAAATTTAAAAGTTTAATGATTAAGTATTAGGGTGAATAAAGAAAAATATAGGGTTTAAATAGAAAAACTCTTCATTTTTTTATCGAGGGAAGTGGCAATTTGAATTTTGTTGATCCTCATTTTAATTTTCAAAATTACGGAAAAGGAAAAAAATTTAATGGACCAAATTAAAGACATTTACGAAACTACCCTTTCCGCAGTTTGCGGAGTGCCGGATTTACAGTAGCTTGTCCTCTTTCACGGCTTTCCTGTTTGTGGCCGTCTCTCTCTCTCTCTCTCTCTCTAGGAATGACGCGTAAATAAACTGGAAGTTCTTCATACTGTGCGATTCATAAGAAAATAATAAAAATAATAATTATTCGATTTAGAAAGAAAGAAAGTCCTCTCTCTCTCTCTCTCTCTCCTAACTCTTTGCTATTAAATCTCTTCCGCGTCCTCTACCCTTTTGCCAACTACACTTCACTCTCTCTCTCTCTCTCTCTCTTTCAAGCAACCATCAAAATCAAATACCTCTCTTTCTTTTTCTATTCTTTTCTTTTCTTTTCTTTTCTCTGGCGATGAACATGGAGGGATAACCCTCGCAGCTTTTGCTCTCTCTCTCTCTCTCACGCAGAGATCAGATCTGCTTCACATTGTTCTCGCAAACAAGGTACCTCCAAAAGATTTCAAAATTTTCAGCTCAGATTTCTTCATATTCGATGCAGATCTGTTAATTTGTTTCTTTCATTCCATGGTTGTTAATTTGTTTTTCTGAGCTAAATTTAGATTCTTGGGAGACTCTGACTCGTTTCCCTGTGTTTCATAGTGGCCAATTGGTTGTGATTGTTGTATTTAGTAATCTTTGCCTTTCAATTTGCGTTGCCAATTTCCCTTTTTAGCAACTTCATAACTTTATATTCATCTTTTCGTTTTCTGGTATTGCTAGATCTAGGCAATCTTGTTGGATCTGTTGAATTGCATTGAATTACGTTGTTGAGTAATTTGTTTTTGTATTTATGTTGTTTCAATTTTCAGGTGTAGATTATTACGGAACACTTGTGCTGGGAAAACATGGCGACAGGGAAATATACTAGAGTAGACAATAGGAGGTCTTCGGCGACTAGTTACTGCTCGACCGTGACCATTGTGGTGTTTGTAGCTTTGTGCTTGGTCGGGGTTTGGATGATGACCTCGTCGTCTGTAGTTCCTGTTCAAAATGTAGATGTACCTCAGGAGAAAAAGAGCGAGCTCAACG